GGACGCCAGGCTAAAGCAATCACCTATTAGCCCCAAAGTAGGCCGACTAGTAACTCACTCCCTCTAACCTATTATTAGCTGGTCGTGACCTCCTCCCAGCCCTATGGTTATGCATGTGTGTGTGTTCAGTATTGTAGGTATATGCCCGTAGGAAGCTGTAGGATGAGGGAGAGCTTCTTCTATGGGCCATGCGTTTGGGTGGACCAACGGCCTATCTGTAGGTGGCGGGCACAAATCTTGCCCAGGAAGGTATATGAGGCCAATGGGGATTGAACCCAAGGCCTCCTTTTCTCTTACCCTCAATTTGTCGCCCACCACAAAAACAAAACTGGAGAAAGAGAAAACAAAACAGGATAATTGTTGGAAACCACTCACGCAAAAACCTTTTCGGTTTTGCCGCCCAAAGGTCTGCCGTTTGGTACTACATGCCCAGACGTTTCCATGTGGGGTACTAACCGCCCATGCCTCCCTCCAAGGGCCCAGACTAATTCTGATGTGGCTGAGGTATACCATCCTCGCTTCTCCAATCTCGTTCTTCGCGCCCCTAGCGCTAAGCTGTAACTGTCTTCCTTCCCTTATCTTCGGACTCTTCTTCCTCCTCGCTTTCGTTGAATCCTGGTCTTGCTATGCTCTATCTTTGGTAACCTCCCTTCCCGCCTTCGTTTACACGCAGGAATCTGAGAAGCAAAAAAAAGAGAGAAAAAAAACAGAAAAGAAACTGCGTTGTTGTCGACACGTGTATCCCCTAGGGCCTCTGCGTCTTCATCAGCCCGTGTATCCCACTGGGCCCCTGTATTCCCGTTGCACAAAAGACAAAAATCATGGCGCTGTATCTTTCAATGTTCTAGCAAAGATTCACTCTCTTTTTGCACATTTCGCGATCAAGAGAGACTCAGTGAATCTTCTGCTAGAACTTTTTTTTTGGGAAAACGGCCTCGCCCTCCGACGTGGATGACTAGACTGCAGTTACAAACTCTGTCCTGCGACAGCCAAGCGACGGAGGACTTTGGCCTGAAGTGTAAACTTCAGAGGGGACTGGACTCCAAAACCGCAGTTTGAAATGTATTTTCAAACTCTAACCCTGACCGCGCCCTTCTTTTCTCAAAAAAAAAAACCAACCCACCCGCCTTGGAAACTCTCAGAGTCTCAGAGACATACGGTCAGGCATTAGTAGTGCAGTAGTCAGCATACATAAAGAGCTAAGCCTTGCGTGCAACATTAAAAAGACAATGAGCTCAAAGAGATCCAAGGCCAAGCCCCATCACTACCGTAGACTATTGATCTCAGCCAAATGGGGAGATGGTGCAAAAGGGGGATGACAATGGGGATTACTAATTGAACGAGGATGCAACTCTTGTCTCCATTTCTTCCGCTCACTGACAAAGTGCGAGAGCCCTGGGACAGCCTACTACTCCTATGGGGAAGCCTTCGCGATGAGTCGATGACCAAGCAATGCCTTTCTTTATTTGAAGTGCTGCAACCATTCCATTCCTACTTGCACCCAAAACGTTAACGCTTTCCCCCTGTTTTCATGTGGCCAGAGTGTTCACCCGGGATTCCACCTATCCTGCAGAAGCTAGTAATATGCCGGCCCTGCATAATCGCTGTCAAGGTGATCTTTCTTGTGACATCAAACTCGATTCTCAACGGTCAAATTAATACGGAATGATAGCCTCTCATAGTACGTACGCCGCCACAACGTCATGCATCATGCATCATGGAGATCCGGGGTGATGTTTTCCTCGCTTGTCCTACCTACAGGAAATTGCCAACGGCACCATGAACTGCCATTCCGTCAAAATGGACTCCCTTTTTTTTTTTTTTTTTTTTTACGAAATTCGGAAACCGAGTTTCTTGGCCGAAAACTCGTCCAAATTTGCTGCTCCTGAGGGTCCGGCGGACCAGCGTTCTTAAAACGCTGGGGGTCCACCGAATTTGGACGCGTTTTCGGCCAAAAACTCGGTTTTTCAATTTCGTAAAAAAAAAAAAGCGTCCATTTTGACGAAATGACAGATCATGATGAAGCTCCTACAGCTTTCAAGAGAAACTTAGGTTTACCATGATCAAGAAAACAACCAGACCATTGTTCCGGGGCTGGGAGTGGGAACATGGTCCGTAAGTGCGCTACTCTGTGCTTCACAAACTTGCATGATCATCCCACTATGCTTGCTGAATCCAAGTGCCATCATGCCATTGCTTCAGCAGTCCAATCCCTGTCCACCTTACCAGATATGAATTCTAGAAAACTGTTAGAGGGTACTAGAGGACTACTATTTGCAAAGGGTGAGATAATCTCGGGAAAAGGAAACAGAAAGCGCTGCCAGATATCGACTCTAGAAAACAGAGCACAAGAGAGCCAGCAAACATACAACAGAGAGTCTGAGAGAGAGAAATGGCAGGATGGCAAAAGCGGGAGAAGCGGACTAGAGGTGTGGATCACGGTGGATGGGCGTGAAGTTTTCAAACGGGCAAATGAAGACTTGGCACAGTAGAAGAGAACTTCGTCTAAGAAAGCTCAGCACAATCTTGTGTGATGTTTCGGTGTGAAGCTTTGTTAGTCTAAGCTTTCGGTGTGAATGACTTGGCACAGTAGAAGAGAAATTAGTCTAAGTGTTGCACCATTTCCTTCACACAAAAACCTGAGGACACCCCCCGTCCGTCTTGGAGGTGCTGGTACGAGCAGACACCACTAGCACTCAGGGAGAGGCTCCATCTATTGGTGGGGAGCATCACCTGCTGGAAAACGGGCCCAGTGTCCCATGTACAGACTGAATTTGGAATACATCAGAAAAACATCAGAAAAACAACCGTGGGAGGATCCTGCCAGCATTGATTGCCCTGGAATCCAGGGAATTGACCGAGCAGGCTTATTGAACTCCCTCCCTCCAACAGCTCCAATCCCAACTGTCTTTTTTGCTGAGCACCGGGTTCAGCGTCCCTTGCATACATCTTTCCCCGCTGAGAAGCAGGCTCAGCGTCCTTTGGAAGTTCCTGAGGAAACGAGAAGATTGGGACTGAGCATCTCACCATCAGAAATTATGTGCATCTTTTTTTCAGCTCAAACAATAGCATGAGAGGTGAGCCCTAGAGTTCGAAGAAGAAAAAAAAACACGATCACAACTTATCTTGTGCTTAAGCATCTCACCATCAGAGACTATCTGCGTCTTTCGTCACCTCAAACAATACACTGAGAAGTGGCCAGCCCTAAAGTTAAAACAAACAAACAAACAAACAAACAAACAAACAGACAAACAGACAAACAAACAAACACACACTATCACAACTTATCTTGCAGAAAGAAGAACTTGTGTTTTGTCACTTTTCTACTGCAGTGGCACGTTCACTGACAGTCGGATTCTGCTTCTATGTATTGTGTTTTTCCACTGGTACATTCAGTCCTAACACAGGGTTCATTGCACATCCGAGAGCCCTATTGCTGATAGCCTCTCAATGATCATTGTGACAGCATCATGGCTGAATGGTACACACTTGAGACAGCTAACCCATACATTACCCGATCAAATCATTGCCAACTTGAACTCAACATTGTAATGGGTCAGCTTCTTAGTATTTTTCCTACCCAAGCGCAGTATTCTGAAGATTCTGAATCTGAAGCATCTGAAGCATGGCATTGCTTACATTCAGACTGATTCAGTGATTACCTCCCAAATATCAGGAAGTCAAAAGCTGGGTAAGCCGTGCGCCACACACCCCCGACAGGCTGGGTTACAAAGTTGTGCCACCTCGCTCCGGCTCTGGGCAGTGTTGCTCCGGCTGTGAACCTTCTCTACCAGGCCTTACACCCCAAATAGGCTCGGTTACGAAGTTGCGCCACCTCGCTCCGGTTCTAAGCAGCGTCGCTCCGGCTTTGAACCTTGGTCAGCCACTGGAACTGGCCACCCAGATTTCTCTACCAGGCCTCACACCCCAATTACAGGGTTGTGCCACCTCACCCCAGCGCCGGCCAGCATCGCTCTGGCATCGTCCATTCGTGGCCTGCTGAATACAACCAACTCAGCAAGTTCACCGATGAGCCAACGAGTACTATAATCCCTATTCCTAACCTCGTAGAATCTTCCGAAGAAGGCCCAAACAGTGGATGATGTTGATGATGCTGATTATCGGCAACTTATCGCTGATGAACATAAGATTTTATCAATCAGCCACACCCTGAAAAGCCCCTGATTCATCTAAAGAATCGAAGGATTTATGTCTGTCTGACGTGCTGGGAACTCCCCACAGAAGACTGACCTGACGTAATCCCTCTTGGACATCAGAGTCTATCGTTAGCCGACCAAGGATACTGTACCACCTCTCAGAACATAAGCTAGTAGCCTATTACTCAAACTGCCCTCCAAAACCTAGGCCATTCACTTCTGAACCTGATACAGACCTAAAAAAAGTTCTTGAAAGGCATTTCTTTCGGGAAGTCAATCAGCCTCTAAGTTCCTCACTGCTGTGCTCAAGAGTACCCACTGCCAGTGGATGCTATCTCACAAGCGGCAGAAGGGACAGCTGACAGTGCCTGACACCCACCTCTCTCAACAGCTCCCCTACCGTGCATCCTTTACAAAGTCAGGAAGATTTACCTCAAGAGAAACTCTCTCTAGGATTGAAACAATGCTTTCGTCCCCGCTCGTCATGCCTGGCCGATGGCGCATGTCGAGGCTAGCACACTGCAATCCCAATCGTGCCACCTTCCTTGCGAGTTCCACATCCCAGCCGTCTGCATTTGGGTCAAGAGCATTCCGAAATGCTCCGTCATCTTCCACGGCAGATTCAATTGTCTCATACGCATTCGACATCTTGCCCGTCAGAATCTCCAGAACTGTGACGCCGAATGCATACACATCAGTCTTCTCGTCCAAAATTCTGGACCGCCAATACTCGGGAGCTACGTACTGGGCATCATTTGCCAAGTACATCAGCATGGTGGTGCGCTGTTCTTGGCCTCTCTCCTTGAGTTCTTGGTGAATCAATGCCTGGTCGACAGCACCAACCTTGGCCACAAGCTTGTCATCCAGCAGGATGTTCGCTGTCTTGATTGCCCCATGGATGATGGGACCTTTCGCTAGTGGCGGATGGGCTGAGTGAAGGAAGGACAATGCCCGAGCAACCTGTGCTATAATCCGCAAGCGAACATACCAGGGAAAGAAACCCGTTCCCGACCTGTCTCTGCGTATCAAGATCCTGTCCATCACACTCCCATTTGCTGCATGCTCATAAACCAGACATTTCTCTTTATTGCAGGCTCCCATGAGCCTCAACAAATGAGGGTGGTGAAGCGATCGTAACCTATCGACCACGCTCGACTTGAACCTCTCTTGATTGGGGTCATCGTCAACCATGACTTCAGCCCTTATCTTTTTCACCCACACTTGACCTGCAAGTTTCCCCAGGAAAAAATATCCATAGGGATCCCCATCACCACTCTTCCATTTGTCAAAGTTATCTGTTGCATCCCGCAACTCCTTCACTGAGTACTCTCGAAACAGACTGAGCGAAGTTCTCTCTGCTGGACCACCACCCACTCCAAGGTGTGACCCTAGTAGCCGTTGTTGTTTTGTGACCTCTTCTAGTTTACCCTCCAGGTCCTCAACCCTCTGGCTTATTTTTTCCAGTCGATTCACTAGATTTGCCTTCTCAGCCTCAAGAAATCGGATCCTCTCCATGAGATCGTTGCATGACTTATCTGACTTCTGTCGTGCGGTAAATACCTCCTTTTTCAAGATTGATTCCAGTTCTTGCATTCTGAGCCTGGTTCCTTCTTTCGAGAACGCTGCCTCCTTTTCCAACTTTTCCATCCTCCTCAATGTCCTCATCAACACCACAGATTGCTCCTCGACCACCTCCAAGACAAGAAATCCCTCACAGCTGCAAAGAATATTCCTGTTTGGACTTATGCAAGGGTACATTTGAAAGATTCCGCACAGTTGACTGGGACAGGGACAGGAGAAGACTCGTTGGTACGTTGACTCGTTCCAAAGCTTGACGTTTCCGGCTTCGTCTGCAGTGAAGATGTATGGCAAATGGGGGTGGAAAAAGGCACCCCAGACGTTTTCGTCGTTCCCTTCCAATTTGGCGATGCATGAGGCCGCTTTGTAGTTCCAAACCTTTGCAACGTTGGCTTTGCCACATGTGATCAGAAGCGGATTTTGAAATCTGGAGCAGAACTGCAAACGCCATATTTGAGGAATGCAACCATGATCTTGCATGGTATGCATGACAGACCTTTTTTCAATATTCCATACCTTGAGCGTGCCATCGTCTGATGCGCTCGCAAAGATCTGCAAATTTGTTGGGTGAAATGCCACTGCCCTGATTGCTTTCGAATGACCTTTGAACACAATCTTCTCCCACCCCTTCTCCCAGTCCCAGAGAGCAACATCGTCCTTTCCGTCGTGTGTGAAGCTGGATATAAGATAGGATAACGTCGGATGAACTGCCATCACCCACCAACAATGGGAAGGTTTCTTTAGACACACCACAGACTTCGAGATCGAATTTCCAATTTCAAACACATCCACCCGGCCACCGCCGTATGCCACAATCCAATCTTTTCTCGCAATGAAATCTACAGTTCAATATGTGTGGCCAGGAGACCATCGTGCGACTCTTTTTCCCTCTTCATAGTCCCATACTTGAATTGAGTTAGGCCCAAACTCACACTCTGCAAAAACTAGCCACGGTTTATCTGGGTGCAAATTTACTGCACCGAAGTTCGTTCCAACTTCTTCCTTTGTTAATTTGAGCTTTCGCACCAGTTGAAGCATGTTTCCTGTCAGAGGTTTCAGCCGCTCAGCCCATGGCCAGCTTCGGAATTTTCGTTCTCACTTGCCCCCTAGCTATGACTGAAGCAAATGATGCACCGCGGGGTGTTCACACCTCCAACTGTTGCGCCTGCTAGTCTCAGGCTTTGGCGTTTCTCGAAAATTGGGCACCTGCCACAGCCAAACGCCAACATCCCACACCCACCCACCCTTTTCTCTGGGTGAGGTTGCGTCGTCGGTGGCCCATTGAGTCGTTGACTATCAGCAAAAGAGTGTGTGCACCAGAACAGGTGGGGGCCTTGCGATGAACATGATGCAAATGGTGCTCTTTGTTTCCACTCGTTTTTGTCAAGTAGGAAGTGATTATTTTTGTGCGTTGTTTTACTCCGGGAGACGTTGCGGGGCCTCAGACTCGCTACCAAAGGTTACTTCACGGAGGCATTAGAACTCAGGCTACCAGAGAGGTCCGGGTCCACTTGCCCGGCCGGGCCACAAAAAAAAAAAAAAAAAAGTTTTTAATTAAAATTTTTATTTTAAATCTGGTAAAGAATTTCGATGTGACCCTGGGGCAAAAGTTGCTCAGTTTATTTTTCTGCATAACATAGTTTTTTTCGGAGTTCTTTTTTTTTTTTTTTTTTTTTTTTTGGCTGGGACCTTCCCTAGTGCTTGCATGGCCGGGCCGCCCGGGAAAACAGGGTGACCTGGGCGGCCTGTCTGGTAGCGTAGATTAGAAGCACTTTTCCTAAGCAGTGTGTAATCAAGGATGGGAGTTTAGCTTAATCATGCTGCTTCCTGCCATCCCACCCCACCCCACCCCCCACCCGCGCTTTGCTACTACTGAGTCACAAGCCGAGCACTTACACCTACCACCAGATCAGGGATGACTTGGACACACTACCTCGATATAATCCTACCCACCAGACCTCACTCCTCAGCGCGAAGCTGTACATTGCTGCCGGAATCCCATTCCTCAGGAATGCAACCCAGGTTATATTAGAAGAGGATTTCTACGTTTCGGACTCCGTATTTGGCCTGGAAAGGGAGCAGATACCGCCCGCGTAAAAAAAAAACGTTTTGGTTTACGTACGAAATGTTTCTTGTGTGGCAAGAAGGGCCCAGAAGGGAGTTCGATGTTCCTTCTTTTGTTCAAAAAAACAAACAAACAAACAAAAAACCAAAAAAAAAAAAGGGATTACTTCTCGATTAATGCTTGCCATCCTTGCGCAGGGGCCATGCTAATCTATCTTCTCTGTATCGTTCCAATTTTAAAGGATGTCCCGCCGAAGGACGGGAATCCATTTTTTTTGATTTGGTAACCATTGGCCTGAAAATGTCCCACCGTTGGAAGGTCACCGAGGTAAATCCCAGCGAACCACTGCCTGCTCTAATGTGTAAAAAAGGTGGGGTGTGCGGAGGTTGTTTGTACCAGGTGCCCTACCCAGGAACCACACACACCAACTGAGAAAGTGCCACTGAGCTGGAATTGACTGGAAGACAGATTGACTGAAATTTCATATCTTATCATTCTTGGATCCTGATTTCTTCTCCTTCTTCTTCTCCTTTCCCTTTGTCTCCCTCTTGTTTCTCTTAATTCACCTCCGCCCGACTCAGAAATCTGCTCTCCGAATCACGAACTCCAGGACGGAATGGATCCCAAGCGACGACGTGCCATTGCCTGCCCATCTTTGTTTCTTTGATTGAATTCTCGCTCCCTCTTGTTTCTCTTAATTCACCTCCGCCCCACTCATTAGTGGCTTGATTACAGACCTGTTGTTGCTGCGTTGGAGCGTTGGAGCAGCCGTGGAGCTTCATTAGCGGAACGTTCATTGGAGTGAAGTGCATTCCCCCTTTTAAACCTGTATTGATTGGAACCTCCATTACCCTGGTGTCGCTGCTGCTGGGCTGGTCTAAGTTGTCACACACTCGATTGATTTGAGTTAGCAACCAGTCCGGTTGTTAAAAAATATATATATATAGTTCTGGAAAATTCTGGAAAGGTATATGGCAGTCAGCAATAGTCAGACCCACTCGTGAGTTAGTAGTTAGTAGAAGGGAGTTGGATCCAAGTGGTGAGGAGGTGGAGGCCGTTTACCTGTGCCATTGATCACCATGGACGATTATCCCATGTTTGCACTCTTGTCCCTGTCTGTGTTATGGGGACCCCTACTTCGTTTATTCTTTAATCTTGGGTTCCAGCAAACCTTTTTTTCACATATGATGCTGAGGTCGGGGAAGTCGACGCAGGCCCAAATAGTTGAGGAACGGACATAGATAGACTGCCGCTTGGCAGAAAAGAAGGAAGAAAAGGAGGAAAAGAGAAGGAAGAAGGAGGAGGAGGTGAAGATAAAGTTGTTGCAAGAGAAAGAAAAGATGGAGAAGGAGATGAAGGAAAAGGAGAGAAAAAGAAAAGATGAAGGAGACTGTTGGAAAGGAGAAGAACCCAGACGCAGGAAGAGAAGAGAAGGCTGAGAGCAGTCAGGCTGGGGCAATCCGTATACAACAACTGGAGGCTATGAACTGGATTGAACAGTTCGGGTACAGGACGGAGTTCCCAGAAGAGACGGAGGAAAAGAAAAATGCCTTTATAATTAAGTTGGCATCTGCAACAGACGAGATGGAGAAGAATCTATTGCTGGATGAGAAGAAGGAAGAATTAAACAATAATATGGTGGCGGCAAAAAGACAGGAATAAAAACGAAAAAAAAAAGAATGAAAGAGGAGGGGGAGAGACTACAGAAGTTGCTGCAAGAGCAAAAAGGAAAGCAAGCAGCCATAGATGAACGGTTAACTCTCTTGACTGACACCCTCCTCCACACTAACGAAGAACTCGCTGCCCTCCATCGATCCGTCAGTAAATTAGAGTTCCATCAGGGAGAATTTGAGGGAACTTGGAATAACTTCCTACGCACAACCTCTCACAAAGTAGATGACCAAATTTTTGGATATCTAAAGCAACTAGATGGCGCCCTCACCAAAAAGATAACTGACCCTGCCGTAGTAAGAAAGTTGAAGATTGGAGGTGGGGGAGGAGAAAGAGGCGATAATGGTGATGATGGAGACAGGAAAGGAAAGGGTGTCAAGAAAGAGAAGGATGGAGAAGCGGAGGAGTCCAGGCAAAAGATGAAGGTGAAGTTGCCTTGGACTTATACAGGGAAAAAGGAAGAGAGCATCTTCCAGGCTATGGGTACGTACCTGTACGCACAAAAGATTTTGTACCGAGACTGGTATTAATGGCAAGTACGTGTATGGCAGGGGGCGCAATGAGTTTCACCATCTCTTTAATGAAAGAGGCTGGCTGCACAACCATGGTTGAGTTTCCTCAACAGATGCAGATGGAAGACTTTTTCAAAGCCCTTTGAGAAATGTTCGAAGATAAGAACTTGGTCCGTAGGACTGATTCTTTGATTCTTAACATTAGTGACCGTAAATAGAAGAGTGTATCAACCCTCAAGGCCACGATGGATGAATTGTTGCAATGCCTAGATCACAGACTGACACCGGCCCAGATCCTGAATAACTTCGCTATAGCGCTCCCTAATCCCCTGGAAACACGGCTATATCCTGCACCAAAGAAGAGGGAATAACTTATGAGAAATTAAGCAAGATCGCAGTAGATCATGTTTCCTACAGGAGGCACAATACTGCCACTACTAGAAAGACTTGCAAGCAAGAAAGAAATGGAAAGATAGAACAATTTCTGGTAATATAGCAGGGAACGACAACCTATTGGTCACCTTCGAGGAAGGAGGTGTAGAGTCCTTTACATATGACCAAATACATTATAGACTAGAAGAAGATAGCAATGGTCACTTAGCCCAGGGAGGGGACTATGCGGCTGTTGCAGCCCGCGGGGAAGGGCGACAAGGAGGAAGAGGTCGTGGTAGAGGAAAAGGAGGCCACGATCGAGGTGGAGGAAGAGGACCCGCCACCCAGAGGGGTAGTGGCGAAGGTAGCTACCATGTGGGAGGTAGGGGTAATAGTCCCTCGCAAGGTGGTAGAGGTCCCAACTCCACAGGGGGAAGAGGTAGAGGTAATTGGCAGCCATATCCAGCCCAGCCTGGAATTCTCATAGGCAAACCATGGGAACAAATGGGGATAGATGAAAAAGTTTGGGAAGAAAGGAAGGCTACCGGTCAATGTTTCAAATGTGGTGACCCTGACCACATTGTTCCCTTCTGTCCTGAATATAGGTACCCAAAAGGGAACAACCAGTAGAGGTTTCAGTTGCCTCTACAGGGACTATGGATGCAAGCAGACTGTCATCCTCCCGTCCAGAGGTCCCAATGGCAAAGACTGAGACGAGAAATGATCCCCACCTAGTTACTGCTCATTTAGCAGTAATCGAGATTCGTTAACTGGTCATACATCAATTCAGTCGATCACAATTTAAAAGGAGAGCGCGGTGACGATCAATGACCCACAAGCACAACCATCGACAGAAAAATGTGCCAAATTGCAAAAAAGATCATCAACAAGCCAAGCCAAGGTTGATCGTGACAACAGATGTATGCCACACATTGTGGAGAAATTACAAATGTCATAGCCATCCTTCTGGCGAGGTTCAAGATTGTTTTTTTTTTTGGGCGGGCAACAGACCTGTCCTCCTCAGGGGAATAGTAGTGAGTACTAGTGACCTTGACAGGAGACAATGTCTTGGATTGATTATTTCACGATACTATTCTATTCTATTATTCATAGATTTGTTGAGTAATGATCACTGATTGACTAACTCGTCGTGAGGCGGAGAGGTTACTACACT